GAAGGCTGTGGGATGGGCAGTAACTAGATTACTACCCACCTTACATTAATTTAAAAAAAAATAAGTTGATACCTTTCTGAGGAGTGAATAGGGGTGTGGATGGGAGGGAGTGTAGGGGGGTAGAAGAAGGGAAAGGAGGGGGAACTGGGATTGGTATGTAAAATGAAAAGAAAATTTTAAATTAAAAAAAATAAAAATATATATAAAACAACAGATTGATAAATGGGTTCAAGTCTCAGTTTTTATTAAAGTGATCTCTGGTGCATGCAAATGCGCTTACAGACCTATATCTCTAAGAAGGAAGTCCAGTGAGCTGTATGATTTGGACTGCAAAGGACTAGCTGACTGGGATGCCGGGGAAATGCCAGCAGGGATTTAATTGAGCAAATGTTTTTCTGGGTGAAAAATAACTTCCTTAAGAAATTAGGACCCTAGCTTGTACCTCACAAGAGAACAAAACAAAACTTTTTTTTTTTAAATCAACTACTTCAACTACCTGATACCAAGCAAATAAATCAACTTGAAAGCCAATTCAGTGAAAACCTTAGAATGTGTGACAGAAACACTTGCGTTTGACTGTACTTTCATAACTCAAAAGCTATAGCATGATGAGAGATAAAAATAAACCCACTAAAGGTAGACTGAATATAGGTAATAAACAACATAAGCAAATAATCCAACATGAAGCCAACAATCATTGTCTCAAGAGAAAAAAAGATAGGAAAACCTTGACAGGAGGGTAAGAGACATGAGGTTAAAAAGAGAAGACACAAAATTGTGCTGGCTAGGCATAGGGAGAGGGTAAGATAGAGGTCTGTTAAAGGAACCAGAATCAAAGAAAAGTACAAATTCTCAGAGCATGTATCTGAAAACCAAACAAACAATAGCACTGAAGTAAGATCTTCAAACTCTTGAAAGAAGTTAAAATGACTTTTTACATTTTACATTACACACTAGAGCATTGGCCTAAAACGTGATCATAATGTCTTCAAATGTTCAGGTAAGATTAATGTCAGCTTGGCACTGTATATTCAATTAAAATATTTAAAATGAGGATAAATAAAATATATGTTCAGAAAAATAAGGAGAAGAATTCTTTGGTTAGATAATTACTAAAGGATCTATGTCAAAAAAGAAATTGGATTCAGGGCACTGGCAAGCACACAGATCTATCTAAATAAATATTATGGGCAGTGGGTGTTAGAGTAACTTTTAGATTTCTGTAGACAAAATTTTCTCTCCAAAAATTAACAGAATAAGGTAGGGTTGCCAACTTTTAATTTTTCTAAAAGGAACAGTTTGTAAATCATGTTTTAAGTACACAGATTCTGTCCCTGACTTACAGTCTCTGGTTAACAACAGCTAATTAAAAATAGTAAAACTGAAGAAATAATGATTGTCTATTAAAATGAAAAATTATGGGCTGGAGAGATGGCTCAGAGGTTAAGAGCGCTGACTGCTCTTCCAGAGGTCCTGAGTTCAATTCCCAGCAACCACATGGTGGCTCACAACCACCTATAATGAGATCTGATGCCCTCTTCTGACCTGCAGACGTACATGCAGTCAGAACACTGTATACATAATAAATCTTGAAAATTTTTTTTTAGCCAGGTGGTGGTGGCGCACGCCTTTAATCCCAGCACTCGGGAGGCAGAGCCAGGTGTATTTCTGTGAGTTCGAGGCCAGCCTAGTCTCCAAAGCGAGTTCCAGGAAAGGCGCAAAGCTACACATAGAAACCCTGTCTCAAAAAAAATTTTTTTTAATGAAAAATTAAAAAAGGTGTCAGGGCTGAAGAGATAGTTCAGTGGTTAAGGGAACTGGCTGTCTTCCAGATGACCAGGGTTTCATCCCCAGCACCTACACAGAGGCTCACAACTGTCTGTAACTCTAGTTTCTAGGGATTGGTGCCCTTTTCTGGCCTCTGTGGTTCCCAACTATGCAAGTGGTACACAGATATGCATGTAGGAAAGAGAGTATAATGAAAAATTACTACATCGGTATTGTTCTAGTTTTATCAGAGAAATTAAAAGCATTGACTTCCCTGGTCCCTGTGATTCTATGTGATAATATTTCTGCATTATGCTAACATGTCTGGTGGGTGGTAGAGTCTCAGTAAATATTTGCAAATGGAAAGGAAATATTGCTATCACTATTTCAATCTTTTCCTGATTGTAGTTGACCCCATGAAACTAAAGATTCCATCTCAAATTTTCACTCTCATGTACTGTCATTTAACAGAAATATCTTTTAGAGGAGTTGTTGATGATTTCTTTCTTCTTCCTTAAACTTGAAGGCCAGCAGAGTACAGGTTTCCCTGAGTCTCCCCAAAGTGAAATCTAAGATACTAAAGGAAGCCCTAGCGCAGAGGCAATGATTTATTCACCTAGAGAAGTCATGAAACTAATCGTAATAAGGCTGAACTTCTGTCGGGAATGATGAACACATGCAAGAAAATTGTTGCTCCTGAGCTAAGCTGAGGGAAAAAGAAAACATTATTCCCGTCCACTAACTGTACCTATCACCTTATATATTTCATTTAGGAAAGGAATTTAACAAGTATGATCTGTGTTATATAGAACTTTCTCAAGAGATAAAAACCTTTCAGCCTGCAGTTAACTTCATTATAGCTTGAAACCTTCATGAAAGTATTTATTCAGCAATTAATAATATTCATGTGCAAACAAAACTGTCCAACTAAATAGGTTGCCCATATTCTAGAACTTCTTCCTTGGTGTGAAATGAGCTTTTCTTGTATTTTGTCTTTCTCTTCTTAAATTCAGTATCAAAATTCTTTCTTACTCAGATGAAATGCCAACTTTGAGTTCTGCTGGAAAAGCTTTCTGTGATCTCTGTGACTACTTTAACAGTTCAAGTGTGTTTTCCAGTGTGGGTCGGCAGACCCTTGCTGCATGTAGCAATGTGTGATAAATTAATCCCTAGCAAAATGCCAATCTTTAGGAAGCCAGTAAGGTAATACACTCCTGCTAGATGCCGAAATCTGTTTTTCAAAGATCAAAGGAAGGTGTATTGTCAATCTGGACATCACAATTTTAAAAAGGACCTTACTCACTTGTCACTTTGGGTAGATGTGTTCAAAGGTGCTTTTAGAAAATAATGTTTCTACAACACAACTAAATTGTGTGTGTTTTTAATGGATGTTCTGAGTATTATCTTCAAGAGTAGAATCCTCATCAAATAGTTTTGTATAAAGTATATTTTAGGCTTCTTTTTGCCTTTATCTAAAGTAAGATTTAGACCCAACAAAAAGAAAAAGTATTCAGAATCTTGTCCAGAGATAATCTATGCATTATCTTTTTTCACATTTTAAATATATTGTTCTATTAAATGTGTCTCTGTGAACTCATTGTTGCTTGAATTTGGATAGGCTTTTACACATAGTTTAATATTTTAAAACCTTTAAATAGTAGCAGTCCAGCTGCTTCTAAAATGTTAAACTAAAAGAATGTACTGAAAATACATTGTAAGAACAAGTAAGTATTATTTTTATTGAGTTCCATTATAAAAAGAGCATTTTAGGTTGATACTATGATTCCCAGAAGGCTCTTCTAATGTTTTCTTTTTTAACTCACTAGTCTTTAAATAGAGTTTTAAAAATTGAAGTATATTTAATTTTTTAATTTAGTTTTTATTTTGTGTGTATAAGTGTTTTGCCTGCATGTATGTCTGTGCATCAGGTGAATGCCTGGTACCTATGAAGGCCACAGGGCATTGGAATTCCTAGAACTGGAGTTACAGATGGTTCTGAGCTGCCATGTGCGTGCTGGGAACTGACCTCAGGTCTTCTGAAAGCAGCTTGTGCTGTTAACAGCTGAGCCATTTCTTCAGCCCCCGATTTTAAGTATTTTAAAGCCCAATACACATTGTACATCAATGCCTCCCTGATAGAGAACACCCCCATAGGAATCCATAGGGAGCCTCAGCTCTGAGTATTGTCTTCAACAGTAGAATCAAGGACTGTCGTATCATGTGAACATTTTCACTTGCAGAGTCCTTAGTTCCCATAGTTCACCAGCTTCCTTTTCAATCATGTCTATGTCACATGATTTCTTTTGTGTCTGAGGAGTTAAAACTTCACTTGAGACATAAAAGTGACAGGATTAAATGCTATATATTTTTTATTTCTGCATTTTTATTGAATAGTGTAACAAATATATTTAGATTCATAGTTCTAGTTTAAATTAATGGTGGTGATAGAAATTGATGATCATATGTAAAAAATTAGAATTTTGAGTATTTTCTTCTGAAGTTTTTTTTAGATAATTATAACACAGATTATAACACAGACATAATATATAGACATAGATGATAATCTGATAACTTAACCTGTATTTTATATTGTGGGTATTGGAAAAATCTTATAATTCTGTTCTGAGTCAGAAAATACTAAGGAAGGAGGTGAAAATGTCATAAATAGTATTTTATGAAAGTTTACCATCATTGTGCTAAACTATTTGATAACTGAAAATAACATTTCTAGATAATTCTTTGACATACAAAATTTAGAAATATTCTAAAATGTATCTCATATTTCTTTAAATTTATATGTTAAATTCCTATCTACTTGACAGTGTTTGCTCTGTCCTTCCCCTCCCCAGAATACTACCAGTTTTAAAACTTAGATGCTCTGTTGGCATTTGTTAAGTTTGTGTTAGTATTTATTCTCAAGCATTGAAAAACTAAATTTCTTCTCTATGTATTTTTTTTATTATTTTTTCATATTAATGAAATATTTGTACATTATTATGAAAAGATTCCCAGCAGTATTAAGTAATAAAACACACTTTATCTACTAAAACATGAATTAGACCAAAGTTTAAGTGAATAACCTACCCTCTGAAAGACCTTCACCCTAAATCCTCTTTCAATAGTAGCTTCAACATCAGCAAGTGATGCTGAGTGACTGTGATGTGCTCTATTCAAGAAACGCATGTGGCTTTAACCTCCGTTCCTCATCAACCTGCTTCTGCCTTCTTTCCTAGGAAGTGTGTAGAGAGCTCTGGTGCCTTAGCAAAAGCAACCGCTGTGTCACCAACAGTATTCCAGCCGCCGAAGGGACATTGTGTCAGACTGGGAACATTGAAAAGGGGGTAAGCACCAGTGATTTGTACCTGTTTGAGACATAAACTGATCAGTTTCTGGTGCTGATGTTCAGACGCTAGAAATCTATAGTAATTTAAGATGTACTTTGAATAGTATGTTTTTAACTAAGTGGTAATTGTCTACAAATGTGCCTTACTTGTGAAATTAAAAGGAGCTAATGTCTTTGTGTCAGTTTCACATAAAAGAATAATAATAAAATAAAATGAAGTAATTTATTGAACATAAAAGTTATGGCTTGAAATCTTAGTTCTCATTAGTCTAATTAAAAAAATCTCTAAGAATTGTTCGTGCATGATTGGGATATGGCTGAAATGCTAGAGCATTTCCTAAAATGTAGAAGGTCTGGGCTCAATCTTCAGCACCATAGGGAAAAAAAAGAAGAATTATTCAAGCAGATATAAAAAATTAGTTATATTCTGCTACTCAAATTCTCTGGAATTGTTATATACGTAAATTTTAGAATTCTATGGACTGAATTTATAACTAATACTTGTCATCTCTTCTCTGTTTTGCCTTCTTCCATGTGAGCTGGGCTACTTTCAACAAAGATCACACTGAATTTCAGCTTGCAGTGGGATATTTAAATAAAAAGAATGAAAGTTTTTGGGCAGCTGTCACAGTTTATTAATTCTTGCTGACGGCTTCATTCAGGACCCATGACCTAGTGCCATGTTGATGGCTTTTCCATGCTGGGTTTGGAAATGTTGGTAAATTATGCTAAATATAAGGATTGGTAAGGCCATTTTAAAAGGATTAGGGATTTTTTTTTTCAAAATTTATAAGTAGCCAATAAAAATACAGAAACTTTCATACACTACAAAAATTCTTTCTTTCTCTTTTTTTTCACTGAAGTAATAGAAAATATTAGGAACCACATTCTTGAAACAACAGTCTAGGTTTATTTTGGACCTGCCAGTCCTTGTCAAGGACAAGTAGCAATTTACATCCATCTGCAAAGAAATGTACAAGTGAAGGAAGGAAGCCGCAATGGGAATCTGTTGCTTTATTAGCCATTCACTGGTGGACTGTTCTTTTCACGGTCTGGCCTGAATCACAGTTTTTCTTCTCCTAGAGTAGCACTGTCAATAGACCTGATGGGTTTTTATTTTACTTTATTTTTCTAAGCAGAGAAATATTTTTCTATAAATATTCATGAACTAGAGATGTAACTCAGTGATAGAATATTTGTCTAGCATTCACAAGGTCTTGGGTTTGACCCCCAGCACTACAAAAAAGGACAGGGAGTAAATATCTCAGAGCCTTCCTACAAGCATTTTAGAAGTTCCATAATCACTACAAATATTAGTAATTATGCTATGTGTGATAGCTATTTGAAAATACATAGCTCAACTTTAATTACTTATGTGGCAAACACAATTGTGGTGGTTTGAATACATATGCCCCCCCCCATAGACTCATTTGTTTTAATGCTTGGCCTATAAGGAGTGGCACTATTAGGAGGTGTGGTCTTGTTGGAGAAAGTGTGTCACTGTGGAGGCAGTCTTTGAGGTCTTGTATACTCAAGCTATGCCCAGTGTGGTACACAGTCTCTTTCGGTTGCCTGTGGATCAAGCTTTTTCTCCAACACCATGTCTGCCTGCATGCCACCATATCCTGCCATGATGATAATGGACTAAAACTCTGAACTGTAAGCTGCCCAATTAAATGTTTTCCTTATTAAAAGTTGTTGTAGTCACAGTGTCTCTTCACAGCAATAGAAACTCAAACTACAACAAAAGTTGGTACCAGGGACTGGGGTATTGCTGTGGTAGGCCTGAACATGCTTTTTTGGAGGACTGTGGATTTTGGAACTTTGGATCAGAAAAGCAGTTGAACACTTTAAATTGGGATTAATGAACTAACCTAGTAGGAACATGGAGGACAGTGATGCTGAGGGTGATTTGAACTGGGTGAGTCTGACTCAAGAGGTTTCAGAGGAGAATTTTAGCATGTAGCTGAGAGACTGTTCTTATGATATTTTGGCAAAGAATGTGGCTGCTTTTTGCCTTTGTCTGAAAAGTTTGCCTGAGGCTAAAGTGAAAAGTTTTGGATTAATTCCATTGGCAGAGGAAGTCTTAAAACAGCCTAGTATTGACTGTTGTGTGGTGATTGGTGTTCACTCTTATGAAGATCTATAATGAAAAGGAGCAAACTGAGCAAGGAAAAATACAAAATGTACAATTTAAGGATACAGAAGGCACCAGGAGATGGAATGGTGTTAAGTCCTTTGTTCAAGGAAAAAAACAGGTTAAGAAATGGAATAAAGGGAGTGGTGACCTTAGGGCAAGTTCCCACCCAGCTTAGTTTCCAACTTGCAAAAAGGAATTAAAGGAAAGTTTAGAGCCCTGTGTGGTGGTATACACCTTTAATCTCAGCACTCAGAAGGCAGAGGCTGGAAGATATTTGAGTTTGAGGCCAGTCTTGTCTGCAGAGGAAGTTCCAGAGCCACAAAGCTTAGGCATTGAAAGACAGAAAACAGTGAATAGTTGAACGAAGAAGCCATGTTCCAACCCCAGCAAGCACCAACCCCACCAAGCACCAGATCTTGGCAGCTTCAGCCACATGGTTCTGGTTTTAGTCAAGGATACAAGAAAGGGGTTATAGAATCTCCCTCCATGACTAAGGAAATCCATTGAGGCCAGGCATGGCAGGGATGTCCCTGCATGGAGGCTCCGAAAGGCCATTGTGTGAAGTTGTGAAGGTGATTGACTTGGAGACCCCAAAATTTTGGAGATTCTAGAATTGTGGGATACCTGCTGAAGCAAGCTGCTAACAGGGAGTGGAACCAGCCTAAGAGATAGAAGTGTGTTACAGTCAACAAAGCTGAAGGGAGTTGGAGATCTGAAGAGCACTTTGACATCAGACATGGAGATGCAGAGTTTGAAGTTTGCCCAGCTGGTTTCAGTCTTGCTTTGGTCCAGTATTTCTTTACTATGCTTCCTTTACTCCATTTTGGAATAGTAATGTATATCCTATGCCATTATATGTTGGAAGCATGTGATCTTTTTTCTGATTTTGATTTTATATGGTATTAGGGTTAAGAGATTGCATGAACTCAAAAGAGACTTTGAAATTTGGACTTTTCTTCATTGTTGAGACTATGATAGACTATGGGGACTTTAAAGTTAGACTAAATGCATTTTGTATTATGTTATGGCTACAAGCCTTTGGGGCCAGTGAATTCAATGTGGTAGTTTGAATAGGTATGGTCCCCATAGGCTCTTGTTTGAAGCATGACCCATAGGGAATGGCACTATTAGGAGGTACAGCCTTGTTGAAATAGATGTGGCCTTGTTGGAAGAAGTGTGTCATGGTGGAGGCGGACTTTGAGGTCTTACATGCTCAAACTATGCCCAGTGTGGTACACCGTCTCTTTCTGCTGCCTGCAGATCAAGATGTAGAACTCTTAGGTCCTCCTCCAGCACAATGTCTGCCCTTATGCTGCCCTGCTTCTTGCCATGATGATAATGGACTACACCTCTGAAAGTGCAAGCCAGCCTCAGTTAAACGTTTTACTTTATAAGAGTTGCTGTGTTCATGGTGTCTTTAGTATCGTTTTTGTGCTCAGTTTGATAGCAGGCCCTTAACTATCATGTCACAGAACTATATGCATATATGTGATAAAGACTGGATATCTCTTAAAAATTACAAATTTGGAGAATTCTCAGAAAACATTTGCAATGCTAAGGTGACAGCATTGAATTTAAGTTTATTAAAGTAAATAGAGTTAGAATTATTCCTAAGCGTGAAAAAAATAAGCAGAGATGAGACAACATAAATAAAATAGGGCAAAAATACATGTGATTCCTCAAGACTTACATTCTTACTTTAGTAGACTTTCATATCCCTAAACCCTTTCTTCAAATGAACCCTACGTAATTTTAGAATATGGATTTGAAGTGAGGAATGCTTCATTCTCACTTCAAGAGCTCCTTGCTGGGCCTTAGCCTATGTTCCCAGACCATTACTAGTTCATGGCACACCTCTACAGAATAACTTGGACTTTACAAAAAACTACCTAGGAACCTTGTAAGTGTAGCACTGGTTGTCAATCAAGATGCCAATTTTATTCACAACAAAACAGTGTAGTATCATAAAGTCAATATGGTGGATATGATCACCTAAAATTAATATATAAAGCAAATCTTAGTCATTTTATTTTCCCAGAAGCATGGAAGATGGGAAGTTTTAGAAATGGTACTAACAAACCTTAAAAATGAATAAACCTATGGGAAAAAGGCAAATGTAGATCCTTAGAGGGAAAATAATATTAGAAAACAATTTAGGAGACCTTCAAAATATCCACAAAAAATTGAATTTATTTAGTATGATGGCACAGGCAGTAATTGTCATTATTTGTGAGGCATGGACACTGTGGGTTCTAAGCTAGCCTGGGCAAGTTAGTGAGGCCCTATTCAATATAAAAATTGAAACTGAGGGTGTGTTGAGGATAGCCTAATGAGATAATATTTTTCTGGTGGCATGCATATAGTCCTAGTTGAATAGGCTACCATGTGTGCACATACACACACACTTTGAATTTTTAAAAAATACTTTAGACCTGCATTTTAAAGCAAAACAAAAAGCAAAGATGACTGAGTTCAATACTTTTTACTCACTGACTTTATTTACTACTATTCTCAATGAATTTTTGTTTTTAAGGGTGATCTATATTTACTGTTGCCAAGTACAGATTTTACACTCATAGCTTTGTCTATTTGAAAATTAAATGAGAACTCAGAACTCAGAATTTTAACTGAAAAAAAGAAAAACTGTGCAGAGTCCTAGTGACAAAATTAAAGTGGCAATTTCAATTGACCTGATTGACCCTGTGGTTAGTCTAAACGAGGCATATAAAAATAGATGACATTCCCAATAATACTGATGGCAATGACAATGTTTTTAAAAGACTTATGTCATGCCAGGTACATGCTGCCATTTTCCTGTTGACAAAACCTCAATGAAGCAGGTACTGTTTTGACTTCAT